TTTGAGATGTGCTGGTATGTGTTGGATCGCTACTTGTACTGTTTGACCAACACGTCTCACCTCACACCGGAGTTTCAGAAGCATTCGCTGGGGATCGGTCAGTACTTATCCTTTAAATACAAATGTTAATCAATTACATGGGTAAAGTTTGTGCACAAATGTTGATGATGCCTCGTAAAAGTGCCATTTAGAAGTTATTTTATGAGCAAAATGAAACGGTTGCTAAGGTAGAGTTTTTGGTTGCTATGGATCACTTATTATTTCTCTAAATGCTCTTGTTCCATCACCATCAGTAACGCTAATTAATCCCCCCCCTAAACCATAGGGCTGAAGAGAGAAGATGTAATCAAACAAGAGGATCTTAATGGACAAGAAGAAAATGAGGCTGAGGTGAAGGAGGAGTCGGTGGAAGAGGAAGAAGTCACTCCTCCTCCTCATCCAGGGACGAAGGTTCATCTCACTCCCTTTGAGTTGGAGGGGCTTTGGGCTTTGGTGCATAAGTTGGAAGAGTTGCCTCCACAGAAGAAATGTGTTCCAGCAGGCATCAGGAACGCCGCAGCACTGCTCAGCGATATAAAGGTACCTGCAGAAATGGCTCTAGAATGGTGTTCCCTTTCCGACAGCAGCTCATTTCTACCTTCTTACTGACAGAGGCTGCTTGAAGAACATAAAGGCGACAGCCCAGAACAGTCTTACACTGGAAAGCCGATAGTCAAATGGCCTAAACGGGTAGGGGATGCACCTTGACTATGAGAGTAACTAGGAATGCAAATGATTTTCTTTGGAAAGCACCCAACTACTTATGTCTGCAGCCCTCGTGGTATCAGCCTCCACCGCCACCTCCCCTGTCTCCTCTGTGCCGGCCACGTGCTCCTGGCTCAGGCCCCATGCTTGCGCCGATTTCCCGGCCTGTGAAGGCGGCTTCTTCCATCTCAGCGCTGAGACACAGGCGTGTGCGCTGCAAACATTGTGAAGGTTGCCGGAGGACGGCTTGTGGAGACTGCACCTATTGCAGGGACATGAGGAAGTTTGGAGGACCAGGGAGGATGAAGAAGGGCTGCATGCGTCGACAGTGTCTTGCGGTGAGTAATTGTTCATTTGTGAAGTTTTCAGGGAAATTACTATGGGTGATGCCTAACATCACAATGGATGATGACATCATTGTTATGGGCGGAGGTCGTGGCAAACGGGGAAATGTAGGCAAATCGTCAACTTAGATATGCTAACACATCCAACTTTACAGAGAGCATTGCTACAAAATGCCTGAAATCAGCTAATAATGTCAAAGAAACACCATTAGACTGGAATAACTTTATTTCACGTAAACGTGTTTTACAACAATCACCGCATACACAGGCTTCTCAACACGGTTGTCATTTGCAGCCGTTTCTAGTGGATTCATCATCTTGTGAAGTGATGAGACTTACACAGAACTCCTCAGACTTTATGTATGTCCCTTTCATCTTAAAACACTTATTTCTTGTTACAAACTGTTCTATTGTACTTGCGAATGGCAGACATTACGCACATTGACTACTTTTCCCATTTCACAATAATCAGACAGTCGCAAAACAGCATTGACACGCAAACATGCCCAAACCAAACATACTCAAGCAGCACACACCTGACAGAAACACAAATAATTCCGCTTTTTTTTTTTCTTTTCTTTTTTTTTTCTTCTTTTTTTTTGTGCGAGTGGGTTGCTGCTCATATGGGGGAGGGGTGGAGCAGTGGCATTGGCCCAACCCTAGTTGCAACTGATGATCATTCAGATAATGAATGAATTGTGTAGCATCTTTCAGAATTGCTTGCCACATTTCTTGTTTAATATCTAGTGAATATGCAGCTTGTGTAGCAGTTTACATTAGATTAAATGTTTCCTAGCATGATTTTGTTCTGATAATTGGTAGCCAATCAGCAGCAAGGGGGCGTGTTTATTCATGGATTTAGCCGATTCTGTTTTCATTTATTTCATTTTACACTGCATGAAAGATATTTTTCAAAGTGAAGTTTATGGTGGAATTGCTACCGTAAAAACTAGTCTTGAGGCTTTTTTCATTTCAGGATCTAAAGGCACAAAAGTAATAATTTTTCTGATGTAAAACAGTTTCATGTTTTATTTCTAGCCGGTTCTACCAGCCACTGCAGTGTGTGCTGTTTGTAATGAAGGCCCAGAGTCTGTCCCGATGCTCATGGAATGTTCCAAATGTGCTGAGATCACTCATCCAGAATGTATAAAGGTAGAACCTATTCATGCTCCAACCGCTCATGCTTCTCTTTTTGAGCATTTGTTAACTTGGTGTGTTTTCCCCCAGAATCAAGGTGAGGGCATCATCAATAAAGAGCTTACGTATTGTTGGGAGTGTCCCAAATGTGTCCAGGACAAAAAAACAGAGGTATGTCTGATTTTCAAATAAATGTTGTCACCTCTTCTGCCGTTTTGATTGGCCCAGATTTAATTTTCAATCTTTGTTTTTCTCTCGAAGTTCTCCATTAGTAGCGAAGAGGAATCAGACAGCCATGTTTCCCAGAGTGTTCACTTGTCTGGACCTCCGAACAAGCGAGCACACAGAGAAGGCATTGGAGTGGAGGCTGTACAACTTGCACGCAGAAGTCGTCCAACGCTCCCCTTACCTTCCTTGCATCTGTCCCGCTCCAAGAGACAACCGCCACCTTCCCAAAGACTGCTGCTTCAGCACCAGCAGAACCGGAAACGAGCAGGAGCACTGGAGCTGCAGCTCAATAAAAGAGTGAGGAGCACATCCATTCCACTTCATTTAGATAGCACATAGGAGTATTTTGTAGTATAGTATCTCACAGACAATGTAGAAGGAAACTGAAGTTTTTCTGAGGAATGTAGTGGGGTGTAACTCATTCATGCTGAGCAATGTACATCTTGTTTAACATGTCTGAAAATGGGTAGGAAGATGCAAACAAATATTGCTAGTGACTTTCTTGATGACTGCGAGTGTTAATGTTCGGGGTGCCCCTTCTATTGATTGGTAGGCGAAACACAGGTCTAGTCGAATTGGGATTTTGATCATATGTTTCTTGTGTTGTAGATAAAAATGGAACGAAATTCTATCCTCCAGTCGGTGAGTTTTAACCATCATTTACGAGCCCCACGTCAGCGCATCCTAAAGTCTGTTCTAACCATTCTTCCATTCCCTCTATCATTCTTGCCTGTGCCTTTCGTTCTTCTCATTTCTATCTGTCTCAGACCCATTTGCCTGTGTCTGTTTCTCCAAAGTTCCTGCGACAGAGGAGACTTGAGACAAAGGGCTTAGTCAAAGCAGGAATCAGAAGAAGCCTGGGACATAGGACATCGCCCTGTCGTGGAAGAGAGGTTGGATTGAGAGGTGGCGAAGCAGCTGGATCCCTGAGGGAAGGCACAGCAGTGGAGTTGGAAAGACCTGATTCGGAGAATGGACAGTATAATGGGAAAGAGAACTGTCCTCAACGACGAGGAGGCAAGGCCGGGGAAGACGAGAACGGTGACTGTCTTCAAAACAAAGAGAGTGAGGGAACAAGTGAAGGAGGGGATGCTGCTCCTACGGCAAGTTCTGAGGACTTCAGAGGTCTGGAGTCTGCCGTCACGGTCAAGTTACAGCCATCAAAGGGTAGACATGACCCCAGCTCTATCGTGCCCAGGCTAGAAGCAAACCTATCTTCTAAAAGCCTTTCACCCAGCTACAGAGCCCTGCTCCGCGCCCCACTCCGCAATGGTTCAGAGAGGTCTCCCGGGAACCGATTGCATGTTACAAGCTCACCGCAGACTCTCACGAGACAAGCCTCCAGGAGGGCACACTTGGTCAATAGGCTGAGGTCAAGCAAAGATCGCTCAGCTCACCAATCAATTCGAGAGAGAACTGAGAAAAAGTCTCGATATGAAAAAAGCAAGTCTTCCAAGTCCCGGGTGGCATCTTCACAGAATGGAGAAGAGAACGAGCCGGGATGGGAGAGAGAGGTCTGGGTGTCTGTGTTCCGCTACATGACTCGGCCAGAGCTGGTTGTTTGCATGGCTGTATGCAAGAGCTGGTACAAATGGTGAGTCCATTATTTCAGCGCGCCAGAGTCTTAAAATCGGCAGAGCTTTTCAGGTTTTAGACATTTATTTTTTCTATGAAATTCATGATTTTATTTAAAAAATTTTCTGGAGGCAATGGGTTTCCGTATTTTCAGCTTTCAGTTTTTTTTTGTTGAATGGTTGGTTGTTAAGGGGAGGAATGTTTGCACACCATTTGAACCATTATAAAGGCCTGTAAAATGAATCTAATAGGGTCGAGAGATAAAATGTTCTCTAGATCATCTAGATACACAGGTTACCATTCGATCCAAATATTAAATCCTTTTATTATTGACTGATTGGTTGAAACACACTAAGGAAGCAGATTATTTTGTGAGAAATACCCCAATTATATGTGAGATCGTATGTAAATGTCTTTCACACTATACCACAGATCCAGACAAAATAAACCCTCTGTAAGTGCTTTTGAAGCCAACTTTATACGATGTGCTGCAGGGGCTGTGACAAACGTTTATGGACGCGGATCAGTCTGAGTCGAAGCGCCGTAATGTGCCCGCAGGTCCTCACAGGAATCATTAAACGGCAGCCCGTCGTCTTGGATCTTTCTCATGCCAGCATTTCAAAGAAGCAGCTCAGTTGGCTCATCAACCGCCTGCCAGGTGTGCGACCTCAACACGGCTCCTGTTGTTTATTAGTCAGCGCTGTTGGGGTTTTTGCTAACAAGCAGCTCTTTACCAGGCCTCAAGGATCTGGTGCTGTCCGGGTGTAACTGGACGTCAGTCGCTGCACTGAGCTCTCCGAGCTGTCCGTTACTTCGTTCGTTAGACCTGAGCTGGGCTGAAGGCATCAGAGATCAACAAATCAGGGAGCTGCTGAACCCACCAGGTAAGGATTGAGGGTGTCTGTCAATTTTAATGCCATGCTTGGAAAATATCCCGCTTTTGATGACATTATTCTAGGACATTATTGTAGCTTTGCTGTGGCTCAGTTGGTAGAGCCTTGTGCTAGCACTGCAAAGGTTGTGTGTTCAATTCCCAGGGAAACCCAGAACTGACAAAACGAAAGTGTTCATTATTTCAAATGTAAGTCACTTTGTATAAAAGCGTCTCCCAAATGCTTAAATGTAAATGTAGATATTGGTGAAGCTAGGTGTGCACTGGCTATTTCAGAAGCTGTTAATGCATGGCTGACTCCGCCCCCTGTCTACTAGCGACACGGTGAATTCAAACCAATTCCTGTTTGACTGCAGGCAGTGACAACCGCTCCAAGATGAAGAACATGCAGAGTTTGAGTCTGAGCGGTCTGGAGGTGACTGAAGCCACACTGAGGCTGATCATCAGGCACATGCCTCTGCTCACAAGGCTGGAGCTCTCACGGTGTCCGGTCACCGATGCGGCTCTTGACCTTCTAAGCGCTGTGGGATCCTCCACACGCAACACACTCGCACACCTCAACTTAGCTGGTGAGTAATGTATTCTTAGTTTGCAGCAAGGGCTTTAATGCTACGCTTTTACCATGACTTTTAACACTATAAGAAGACCAAGCCAACCAAATTATAAAAAGAGGAAACCGCAAGACGTTACCTACCAAATAAAAAAAAGTAAAAGGGGGAAACTACAAAAAGAGATAAGCAACCGGATTAAAAATGCATAAAGAGGAAACTACAAGAAACTACAACTACCAGGTCAGCTGGTGCTCACTTCGCTCATTTACAATTAATTAATACAGGAAAAACTATGTGCTTTATAACTCTATATTTGTATTTTTATGTGGTGCTTTATCTCTGAGTGAGTTTAATATTTCTCTGTGACACTGTAGTAGTGGATAATAGATGTTTGTCCTTGTGAAATTAATTGATCTGTGGATCGATTAATTGAAACCAGGTTTACTCTTGAACAACATGACCACAGTGCTCTGCAACCAATATTTGGGCTTCATAAACTCCTGCTTTTCATGGAATCCTCAGGTTGCAGCAGCCTGACCGACCGATGTCTGGTGTATCTGAGACGTCTGTCCTGTTTGTCTGTGCTGGACCTCCGCAGCTGCGCAGGGGTCTCGCGGGAGGCTTGCGAACGATTCATCTCCGAGCTCTCCGTCAATGCCCTCTACTGCCTTTCAGACGAGAAGCTCATCCAGAGGATCTCGTGAGCGGCGCCCCCTCAGGGAGAGAGAGAGAGAGACTTTGTGAATAACGGTGTGTCTGATGCGCGCGACGGCTTCGGTAGAAGCTTCTCTGTGTAACAGAGATCCAGGGTTCATGTACAGCAGCTATAGGAGGGAGGGGCTTAAAGCATTCAGGGCGGGGCTTATGTCGGAATGGTTCTGGGTGAGGAGCGTTCTATTGTAGTTTTCCTTTGGTTCCATGTGCCCACAATACTGCAAGTGGCAATCAGATTGGATCTCAGGCCTTTGGTGCCATGGGCTTTTCTATTATTAAAAGAAGACCGGTGCTATTGCTCTACATTTGTTTTCTGTTTCTGAGCAGCCTACTGTTTGCCAATGAAAAAAAAACAACAACTTTGTTTATATCAAGACTCTTTCAATCCTGCTCCATGAGACCAGCCGCTTTTGTTTTTTTATTTATTTTCTGCAAAGTTTTTTAACAGATGGATTAAATTCCGTATTCTTGCTGTTTCCCTCAAGAGCTGACCAATGGTCATGCTACTCGTGAGGTTCAGCGATAGAATGGACTCTTCTGTATCTTGGATGTTCGCAGCCATCTGATTGGCTCCGAATTTTTAAAACAAATTTGCCGTTTCTAAGTAACTGCTGTACTCGGTTGGAGATGAACTGACTGATTTTAAAGAGTGGTTTGTCCCAGTGACCAGGATTAAAAGTGTCTGCAGACCCGGTGAGCTAGATATGGGTCCATCCCTCCTCTGGAGGTCTGCGTTTGAATTTTACACATCCCCCTACGGTCTCTTTGTTTTAGTCCCTCTCCCTCCTTAATACCTGAGAATATATAGATGTATAAAAACTATAAGCTCCCTTGTGTAAATGTATTTCTCCTGTAGTCTGACAGAAATATCTGTAGCATTTATTACTCTCAGAACGTTTTCATTTTATTCTTTTTCAAGCAAATAAAAATTGATACAAATGTGAACCTGATGTGACCTGAGATGCTTTTTATTTTGTGTGTTCTTGGTGTTTATCTAGTGCCACTTTTTGATTGAATGAATAAGGGACCGTTTACCAGAGCGGAGAGGGGTGTGTTCTCCAGTGTTTCTCCAATGCTTTAAAGAAGCCATCGTGTGTAAAGATCATCTTTAGAGCCTTCTACCGTGTTTTGGTTTAGTCCTTCATCAGAAACATGCCGAAAAGTTTGAGTTCATCTGAAACCTATGGATGATGTCACACCTTGGTCATCTGTTTGAAAAGAATTGCCCACAACTGTGATATCCGTCATTAACCAGATAACCAGCTTGACTCCGGTTTGGTCTCTGACATTAAAGTGTACTAACTAGTATACAAATTTATGAAAGCCAACAAAATGTTAATTGTCATTTGCTTCAGACAAAAATACAAAACTGAACACATCTCCAAGATTGAGTTTCAACCACTGCACTGGTTTCACTCTGGTTGCTATGGGACTGGTGCCATACATTTAACTAACTCACTCTGGGATCAAAGTTAACGCGACTGAAATTCAAGCTGAAAATCTCAATAAAACACCACAGGAAGTTACCAGTCTTCACAAGATCACTGTGCAAAAGAATGTTAAATATATAGCCCCTCATAGACTCTATTGAAAATAAATGGAAAAAGAAAGATATCTTAAAGAGAAAACATCATAGTGGAATGGAGGTTTGTTAATCTATGGTTGACATAATTTTTATGACAGCACTGACTGCTCCCTAGCAACCAAACCGTTTAGCCCAGTAACCACATTTTCTGAACCCTATCTTTGTTTTTGTTTTTTTTACTTATATTGACAATATTATAGGCAATAGTATATTATGTCACTGACGTCCATAGCAACCAGACTGTATATCCTAGCAACCAATTTGGCAGAACCATAGCTCATCATAAAAACAGAGAGGTTGATAAATATCATTCATGGTGGCAAAATGTACAAATTGGATTTTGGCTTATTCTGTATGTGCCGTTAAAAGAATGTTTAAAATGTTCCCAATGTCACTATGAGTAACATAAACCAATTATCTATCACAAACCAATTAGCGTTGGAGGGATCAATGACGTGTTTCTTGTGTCATTATAAACACTGCTCACAAATGGCTGTGATTTTAAAATGTAAACGAGATATTTTTCAAATTTATTTCCAATAGCCACACGAAGCCAATGGTAATTTTTTTAAAAATACTTTTGCACAGACTGCTCACCAGTTTGAGTTACAGCTTTACGAAGTTGTTACGTCAATGGAAATTTTCTCAGTAATAACTTAATTATAAACAAATTCATGACTACAATATGATGAAATTGTGACATGCACATATTTAAAAGGTAAGTTCCAAAAGTTGACATCGACCCTCGAGTATATTCAGGAATTCAGTGGCATTCATCCTCCCTATTGAAGGCGCACGAGGGGGGCATCCGTACAGCCTGCATCCGATGCGTATGGCACATGGATGCTGAATAGGCCTCCGTTAGCTTTCAGGGTCGGGTTTTCGCCGCTGTTTTCCTTCTTCTTTGGCTGGTTCAATGTGGATGTAATGTAAAGAAGAGCCTCCAGAGCATCATGTGTCCGCGCGCTCCGGCGGCACTAGCCTGAGGAGGAGGAGGCGGAGGCTGACGGGAAGCTACTGCTAACGCAAGGATGCTTCACAGCAAATAAACCTCAAATGTATTCATGTTCTCGATTTTACCTCGTGTAAGAGAGTGGCACCCTGTTATATCGAGGAATGTGTCATCAGTTTAGCTGAGAATGACATGTTTTCATGAGGACATGTCGATATTTTGACGTAGCTTTGCTAGCTAGACAGCTGTCGGTTCGACCGTCAATGGGTGGATTTTCAGAAAATTAACACACGTGTCAGCCCGGTACAGAGTCTAAACGAGGAGCACGGAACCCCGAAGTAATGAAATCACCGGGCAGATGGAACGACACGCTTTGTCAAATTAAATTTACGGTGCGTAAAAACCCGCAGGCGTAACGCTATCTGAGGTGGACATTTCCTGCTAAACTACACGCCAGAACCATTGGTGGTGGGAAATAAGCAAATAAACTGATAGGAAGTCAAATACAAGCCCTGGACATGGCCGAGGAGGCGTTTTATTTACACAATCTGGTGTGGAACAATCAGTACCAGGAGCTGGACCGAGAGCTGCAGGTCAAACAGGTACGGGCTGCACGTGACAGCGCTGGGAGGCTCTGGGCAGATGCTCGAGTAAAGTGTTTGTGTTTGTGGATGGCAGCATGATCTGGAGCGGCTGGACCCACGCGGACGCTCCCCGCTCGAGCTGGCGGTGTGTCTGGGGCACCTGGAGTCCGCGCGCGTGCTGCTGAGACATACCGCGGACCCCACGCACACCAACCCGCAGGGATGGACAGGTGGGGGCGCAGTCACTTTATAATCGACATTTTAGCGAAAGTATGGCATTGTCCCAAAAAAAAAAAAGAAACAAAAAAGAGGACTGGATTTTTGTTTAAATTTACTTTTTTTATGTATAATGTGGTTGAAATACACCCACCGGCCACTTTATTAGGAACACCTTGGTAGCTCCGGTTGAAACCCCTCTTTGAACTGCTGCGGGCCATGGATTCATACGGGAAACATTCCTTTTTTGCTCTATATCAACGTGAGAGCATATCGACATACATCGATTATCGATTACTCATGTAGGCCCAAAGTGTGCCAAGAAATACCCCCCACACCATTACACCACCACCACCCTGAACGTTGATCCTTCATGCTGTTAACACCATATTCTCATTGAAAATGCCAGTAGAAGAGCAGTTTCAGAAATACTCAGACCAGCCCAAGTGGCAACAACCATGCCATGTTCAAAGTCTTAAATCTTTATAATTTAAATCCCCTTTCTGATGCTCACTTTGAACTACAGCAGCTCGTCTTCACCGTGTCTA